GAAGTCCATAATCCTTGCGATCCGATTGGTTGTTTTCGGCACACAGGGTTTTTCGGCACGTAGGGACGGACCTTAATGGCGATGACAAGGCTGCTATGACCGTCCTGCGCTAACTAGTTACACACAATTTATTTACGCCCGGCGGCCGAGCCGAAAGGGCTACTAACACTAATCTAACTTTACACTTCTTATGCTACGTCTCGGTCTCCTTAGCCCATCTATCTTCTTTGGCTCGCTTCTTCGTGTAGCTTGTTATCCAATTTGGAGCCCTTATATGATATCATAGCACGCTTCTTCTCTATCTAACTACTATTATTCCTCATCAGGTGCTCGTGAGTTAGTATTGCTAGTGGCAGACTATCTTAGAGTCGGCTTCTCCAAGAGATTCTCCAAGTGTTCAACGTCCTATCTTCGGCGGCTGAAGCGCTGTCTACTGTTGGTTGCACGAGGCTGTAGATGAGTTTATGTTAGTAGCTGAGGTTTATTATTATTATTATTCCATTAGAGTCTATGTAGCTCGAGGCCATGTAAGACTTTGGCTAGGGGCCGTTCTATCTACTTATTTACAATTTGGTACTTTGTGCTGTGTTGCGTAACTATGGTGCTTCGGCCTTTATCTAGTTAAGCTGTACCTAGCTTAGTAGATGCCTAGTGCTCAAGAGCAATTTGGTAACAGGGAGAGGTGTAGGGCAGCTAGGCTGCCTTCCAGCGAGCTCTCTTAGGGGATAGGAAATAGTACTAGTAAAAGTAAATTTGTTTTTCTTGTTTTTTGTCTTGTTTAGCCTTCCTGGTTAAGGTGCCAGTTTCTTGTTCCTATTCTCGTGCTAGTAATAAAAGCTAAAGTAGCTTCTATACCGCACGTAGTATGGAGTAGAAGTGGGAGTTTAAGTACTTTTTGGTCTAGAGTCTTTTTAAGCTGGTTTCTTTCTGCGCTGTAGAAGCCGCAGTATAGAAGTAGATGCTCTGCTGTTTGCGGTCTCCCGCATTTGCAAAGATCGCATTCTTTTCTCTTCACTCTCTTTAGGTAAGAATTAAAGTATCCATGTCCTATCTTAAGAGAGTAGAAGGAGCTTAAAATGTCTCTTTTTGTGCCTCTTGGGATTGCTAGTTGGTTATTAAGCTTTAGATCGAAGATAGCTCCGTAGCTAGTCTTCTTCTCTCTTGCTGTTTCCCTGTACTTTCCCCACTCTTCTGCTTGGCTAGCTCGTTGGAGGAGCTTGATCTTGGTGCCTAGGAAGGCTAGGCTTGTTTGCGATTTTTTTGGTGTTTGTTTTGTAGCTTCCTTTGCCAAAGAATCTGCTTTTTCGTTTCCTTCTATATCTGTGTGGCCTGGCGCCCATTTTAAGAAGATCTTCGCTTTTTTGTTAAGGATAGCTTTAGCTGCTTTTTGGCACCGAATTACCCACTGCTGGCCGGGCCTATCTGATAGACTCTGGAGCCTATAGATGGCAGCTTGGTTATCAGCGTACACGTGGATATTCTGGTCTTTTTGGGCTGTTTTAGCAGCGTATTCGAACGCTGCTGTAATGCCTTCGAGCTCTCCATTATAGACGAGTTGGTTTTCGCCTATATTTATTGTCTTTGTATAGATTTCTTCTTGGTTAGGGTTGTAGACAGCTAGGCCTACTCCTATCCCGTCTCCGTCTTTAGTTTTAGAGGCATCTGAGTAGATTACTATAGTATTATCCTCTATCGTTTGGATATAATCCTTGTGCGCGGCTGCCTCTTCTCTTTGGATTTCCTTGATATAGAGATATTGTAGTTGCGAGTATCCCATGGTCTGAACCTATATGGGATGATCTCTTCTATCTCTTGGGTAGATGGGATAGAGCTCGTGATAGCCCGTAGTTGTCTTGTCTTACTTGGCTGTTTTGATTGTTGAAGGTTTGTTTTTTGCAACCTTGCAATAGCTTTTGTAATTGGATGGGTTGGAGCTAATTGTATAACTCGTAGAGCGTATTTTCGATTTGTTTGGCTTAGCCGTATGGCTGGTGACGGCAAGCTAGCTTCGATACTTGTTGGGATAGCTGGAGCTGTTTTGAACACTCCTAGTACCTTTCTACAAGCCGCGTTATGCAGCGGCTGAAGCTGATCTTTAATAAAGCTCTGGTTGTGCCAATAGATTGGCGACCCATAATCTGCAATGCTCGTAACGCATGCTAGATATAGTTGTCTAATAGCAAAGGGGGATAGACCGCGGTCTATATTCGCTAGTCTCCCTAGTCTATTAAAAGCTGCTTTTGCTTGGCTGGCTCGGATAGCTACGTGTTCTTTGAAGGATAGCTTATTGTCGAGGTATACCCCTAGCCACTTAATCGTATCTTTGTGGTAGATTTTCTCCTTGCTAGGAAGCTCTAGAGATATTTCTTTTCTTTCTTTCTTCTTTGTAAAGTGGATAAGCTCTGTCTTCGCTATATCGAATTTAATGGCTAGTTCTTTTCCTTTTGCGACTAGCTTATTAACTTCTCTTTGTAGGATCTTAACGTTTTTCTTAATGGACGTTGAGGAGGTTGTAATAGAGATATCGTCGATGTAGGAGAGCTGGAATCCATCTATTTGGGGGAACAGATCTCTGATATAGATGAGAAAGAAGATTGGAGAGACTGGGCTGCCTTGTGGGATGCCCGCGTTAATCTCGCTGAACTCTTCTATTTGGCCGTCAAAGGCGAGCCTTAGAGATCTATTAGATAGAAAGGTCTTAGCCCACGTGATTAGGCTAGTAGGTAGGCCTAGTCTTTTGAGTGTATCTAGGAACTGGTTGTGCGAAACGTGGTCAAACGCTCCTTTTACATCTAGAAAGACTGTTGATGTAGTGTAGCCTTGTTGCTTTTGGTGCTGGATCTGATCTACGAGAAGGAGCGCTGCGTCTATAGCTGATTTCTTTAATCTGCCTCCTATCTGTGAGTCGTGTAGAAGGTTGGTCGTCTCGGCTAGGTAGCTAAGTCTGTTTGCTATTATCCGTTCTATTACTTTCCCTAGGCAGCTCAGTAGAGTGATTACTCTGTAGGCCTTTGGGATAGAATAGTCGGGTTTGGACGGCTTCTTTAGAATCGCTCCTGTAGCTCTTCTCCAGCAGGTTGGATGGTATCCGTAGTTAAATAGCAGAGAGTAAGCTTTGAAGAGTGTGTTTGGCTGAGCTTGGTAGGCAGCTGTGATAATTTCCTGTGATAAAGCGTCTGGGCCTGGTGAGCTGCTTTTAACTCTATTAGAACAGGCGCGTTCTAGTTCGGTTGTTGATAGCGCTGGCCACTCCCACTCTTTCTCTTGGTAGTTATTGAAGCTTGGCGGTACTGTACTTGGAGGTGGAGGAAATAGTGCTTTTCGAAAAGCTTTGCACTTTCCTTTAAAAGAGGTCTCTAGCGTCTCTCCTTGGATAGGTGGGATTCTTTCTACTCTCTTTTCCTTCGTATAGTCCATAGCTTTGAAGATAGATTGTGGGTCTTCTTTTTCGAGGAAGTTATTCCAGTGCTCTTTTTTGGCTTCTTTAATTGTTTTTTTATAGATATTTCGCGCTATTAGGAAGTCCTTCTTATATAGGTAAGCTTCCTCTATAGAGGTATCTTGAAGCTGTTGCGATAATATCCTTTGGCAATAGGACACGTTTCTTCGTAGCTTAGTTAACTCCTGGCTCCACCAGGGCTTTGCTTTTGGCCCTTGTTTTAGTTGTGGGATAGCTTTATCCGCGGCTTGTTGGATTACTAGAGTAATTGCTGTGCCAATTGCTTCTAGTTGCAGCTTAAGCTCGTTGTCTTGGCCTAGGAGTAGATTTCTTGAATCTGCTTTTCTTGGTTGGTTAATCTGATCTAGGGATTGTAGCACTAAGTTACTCTGGATAGCTTTGCTCAGCTCTCTTCTAAATAGGTCCCAGTCTGCCCTTTTGGTATTGTATTTTGTCTGGCTGCTAGGGTTGCTAACTAGGTCCTTTGTTGTCTGAATTGCGAAGAGTATCCCATAGTGGTCAGATCCGGTTTCTGTTATTATTTGCCAGTCTTTTACTTTGTCTTCTAGATCTGGTGTCGCGATTGATAGATCTAGAGTTGTTTCTCTAGATAGATGGGGTCTAAAGAAAGTGGCCGTTCCTGGCGTGTTAAGAAGGCTAAGGTGTTGGTCTTCTATCCAATCTGCTAGTTGTTGGCCGCCTTGGCTCGTATTGCTACTGCCTGGGTCCCACCATGGGTGGTGCTCGTTGGCGTCCATTAGTAGAAGGGTAGATGTTGGTAGCCGGGTATTCGTGAGTACTCTATGAAAGGTTTTTATATTTTCTTGGTTTTTTTGGTTGTATACGTTGTAGATGTTAAACTTTGAGCGTCCTTCTTGGATAGTAATAGCAATGGCATCAGGATCAACTATCTCCTCTAGCTGGCTGACCTCTGCTGTTAGGGATCTAGATATATAAAATAGAGCTCTTGGGCGGAGGGCTGGGTTTGCTTTTGGAAAGATTTGGTAGAAGCTTTGGTGGGCTGTTGACCTTGGGGCTTCGTAGTTATTGCTGCTAGAAGGAGCAATCCATGGCTCTTGGATTGCAATAATATCAACTCTTAGCTCAATTGCTAGTTGTAGCGTTGATTCTGTAGCGTGTATACTTTTGTTTAGGTTTACTTGTAGTACTTTAAGGTTTTCTATCATTACGATCTAATAGATAGAAATACCTCGCAGTCTTTGCTATTAGCAAAGTGAGTTTGTTTGCAGTTTTTGCATTTTGGGAGTGTATGGTTGCAAGCCTTTCCCTTTGCTTTGCAGATACTACAAAAGTGCTGGGTAGTTAGGTGGTTTTCAGCACAGAACTGGCAGCTAGCTATGTTTTTGCATCTGCTAAAGCTGTGTCCAAATCCTTGGCACTTGCTGCATTGTGCAGTTAGTGGGATTTGGCGGTATTTCTCCACCCGAAGCGATTGGCCAAGAATTGTTATTCTGCTACCAATCTTCTTCGCTTCTTCTTCAGATTTAAAAGCAATAACAACAGAGCTTGTTTGCTTATCTTTCCAGCTTCTAGATAGCCAGTAGGGGTTCCCAACGATAGTTTGGTTCTTATTATATGTTGGGATCTCTGTGTGGAGTAGCTGAAGGCTTTCAGCTCCATCGAATGTTGTTGGCACTCCATGTACCACAAGTTTAGTCCAAGACTCTAGTGGCTGGGCTTTCTTAATTGGTAGCTGGTTTTGCCAGGTGTTGACTTGCTTTAGGAGAAACTCTCCTGAGTATCCTTCAGTAGTTGTGAGGATAAGGTTGTTTCTTCTACTGGTAGCTACTTGCTGGATGACTGGCCCGGTAATGCCTGCCTTCTGGAAGGCTTGGTTAATCTTATTTCTAACTAGTAGAGGGCTAATTGTTTGGCCCTCTTCTAGCGTAACTAGCGTCTGGTAGTAGGATGCTGGTTTCTTGGCTGATTGCGCTGGCTTCTTTCTTGGCTGGACTGTTATCCAGGCCTGGTTTGAGTTATTTGCTGCTATTGCAGCGTAGGTAGTTTGGGTTGGTTTTTGAGTTAGTTGGGCTGCTGGTTGTGCCTTGTTTGAAGCTGCAGTTGTAGCTTGTTTAAGCGTCTTTGCTGCTTGCTGCGAGGCGTTTGCGAGCGTGGCTGAGTGGTACGCTAGCTTAGCAGATAGCTTTTCTGTGAATTGGTTGGCTACTCTGCCTGTTTCAGTATAGTCTCTAAAGACGTCTAGTAGCTCTAGTAGCTTGTTTTGAGCTACATGGGACTCTTCCATTGTAGAGGCTTGGAGAATAAGGTCTCTAGCCCAATAGATTGCCTGCTCAGAGTTCTTGGCTATTGGTTTTGGGCTGGAGATGTTTTGGTATGGGTTTCTGCCTCTGTAAGTATTCTCTGGTGAGAAGTTGGCATATCGTTTATTTGGTGGTAGTATTGGTATTTCAAACACGCTAGGTGTTTGTTGGTTTTGAGTAGGTGTAGCTGGAGTAGACTCTATCTCCATTTCTCTATCGATTTGAGCCTCTGGGCCTAGGCTCTCCTGTCTGTTTTCTTGAGTATTTACTACAATAGTATCACTGTCTGGCGGCATTTTATTACTAAGCTCTTTTCTTAGTAAGCAGCTAGATGGTCTGTGTGTTTTTGTTTTCGTGAGTGAGACGTGTTCAGATTAGCTACTTTACCAGCTTCTAGCTCTATAGCGCGTGGGCTGCACGACTTGGCACTAGGTGCAATTGATTTTTTGGGATGGATTTGTATATATTTCGCTAAAATTGCACCTATTCTGAAAAACTCGAAGTTGGTGTTTTTTTTGTCAGTCAACCGGTAGATATGGCCAGATAAGAACATTTCCCTTTGTCAAATAGTAGACTGCGTGTCGTTTCCGTTCTTCCTGCATCTTTACCCAAAAGTTAATTCCCATTTCCAACATGGTATCAGCAGGCCTACTTATTGAAGCCCTGGAGGGCCTCGACGCGAACTCCTTCGTTAACGAAGCAGAGCGCGTCCGTGCCATGGACGCGCTGGCCCTGGCCTTAAGCAAAGTACATAAGCCGTGGGACATTGTTTGGCAGCACTGTTGGGTCAACCCGGCCACCAATGCATGCGTCAAGACGTTGATTGATGCGGGTGTCTTCAGCAAATGGATCAAGACCGGAGGCGGAGAGAAGACTTGCGCGGAACTGGCCGAGTTAACGGGTGCCGATGTAGTGCTTATTCGTAGGTTACATATCTGCTCTACTAAC